CAACAATTTTTGTAGTATGGATAAACCAAACTAATTTATATAAATATGATTTAATATTTAAATACCTTAAGAAAACCAAAACAGAACTTATATGTATGTATAACTTCAACAGAACCAATCTATATATACTAAATTCAAAACAGAAAGAGAAATCATCCAAATCACCAAGTGTTGATGAAATCCGGTTTTTCTCTTCAATGGAGGATGAAGAATCTTATCAGAGATATGCAGAGTATGAGGAATCTCTGTGTTTGTTGAAGCAATTGGAATCAACAAATGTCAATTTGGAAGCTCCAAAATTTAATAACCATCTTCTCCATATGCCAGGAGCCTTGCGTAGAGTACCATCACCACTACACGGGACATTGCGGTCAAAGAGAAGCTGATCAATGTGATCTATGGTCTTCGAATTGCAGTTAGGGAAATGTTGACCTTCATTGTTAGTGACTATCATGTTGGTCGTACATGTTCTTTTTGTTTGGTGTATAAGAAGATTACATCTTTTATAATCAACATCATTCGCCCCAACCTGATTCAAACCAAAACAATTAGAAAAACAAGAAAGAAATTTATCTTAATCAACCAAACATGAGAGAGTATTACAAACCATTCCATTAGGCACATATCCTTGTTCTGATGATTCATGTATTAGTTATTTCAAGAAGCTGAAATGTCTTGGAACCAGGTGCAGCATACACTACTCAGACAAAGATAAGAGAAGATAATTGAATCAATTAACCAAAGTCCATAGAAATCTAAAAGAATGTCGAATAAAAGAGGAGGTAGCTACGTACGCGATCACCATACCATGCTAACTGCTTCAGTTTTTAACTTTAGAAACTCATGAAACCTGAATTAAAACCCCGAAAACCAAAACAAAAAGCTAAATAACCAGATGAGAGCATGAAACTAACACTAGTAAACAATGGAATTGAAGATTTTGTTTTGAAGCAACATACATGAAAAACAGAACAAGGCAATGTACCTTTCAAGTCTAATCTCCTTTCTCGAAAAATTAGACTGCTAAGTAAGATAGTTAGGGTACCAAGGGAATGTACCCTCCAATTCACCACTCTCTATAGCCTAATCAAGGGAGATAAAAACCAACATTTTAGAATACAAAATTAGCTTCTTTATGTAGATTATTATCAATGAAATTACCTCAGCCTGAAGAGATTTAATGAGTTCCTTCACCAATATATAGACCCAATCTCATCGTAAAATTGGCCACTAAGAATCATCAAATCTCTAACAGTTTAGTCAAAACTATTACAATTCAAGTATAATCTTGAAATTTCAAGAATGTAAAAAGAAACTTAGAAGCATACTTTGAATTAACTATGAGAGCACGTAATGGCTTAAGAAGAATCTTCATGAACAAATCCCACTGAACGACATAACGTCAACAATAAGGCTCCTTGTTCGATGTACTTGAAAGAGTTATTGGATGCATCTAAAGTGGTGGAGAATGCATTGGAGAGAGTACCGGCCTCAGCTTTGAACGAGAGCTCGGTGGTGAACTTGTGTAGTATGTATGAGTTGGCTTATGTTAATCACATCAACAGACGTTGAACACCTGGATTGCGCGTGTTGCTCCCGATGACTACGATTCATCTTGTACAAGAATTTGAGGTATAGAGTATATCCTTCCATTCTTGAATTTCCCTTTCCGAGGGTTTGACATGTAAAATGTCTTGATACCGTCGATCACTGTTTCATCGCTCAAGAAAACAACAGGGTCAAGGCCTTTCCACTTCCCTCACATTGGTGATTCTTGAGCCAATTCTGTGATGGCTTCAAGCCATTCTCTGATGATATTGCACCTTCTTCGGGTTTGTCCAGAGACTTGTCAGGCGAGTCAATATTGTTTCCATTACACAAGTTCTTTCTCTGATTTGGTTTTTCCCGAGACTCTGCAAGACAAATGCTCGATGAGTACAATTAGAGAATTGATTTAAAGGTTATGATGCACCAGAAAATTGACTTAAAGGTTATGATGCACCAGAAAATATCTACCATTTCACCTGGTAAAGTTGAAACTTATTGAAAGTCTGCAATGGAAAAAATCTCCCAGTGTTCTGATCATGAGGTAGTATCCCTCACAGAGTGTTCAAGTGGAAAATCACTGACTTCCTCGGCCGATTCATCCGAAGAGGCATGAGCCATTTCTTCACAGCGCCATTCCCGCTAACTAACTGTTGAGTCTTTACAGGTTGCTTTTACCAGAAGGAAACATGCTCTTAAGAATTCCGTCTCTCTGCTAATTGGGAACATCTTTGAAAGATCTGTACTAGCCCTCTTTATCATGGACGTGAACCCACACAGAAACAAACAAGAGTAACCTTTGTATTACTGTTTCTCTTTGCTTCAAAGTAATAGAAAACTCAATTTTACCTTGTATTTCTTAAGACATGATCTTCAAATAAGTTCAGGAAGCTTATCTGAGACCTCTACAAGCTCAACAGAGCACCCATACCTCCTCAGAACCCGAAGAATACTAACAATATCTCAGTACCAAGAAGAGTCATGTTTATGAAGAAAGAAGAAAGAAACTAATATGTTACTTCATCTTCAGTTGGGTTCATTGAGCAGGTTGTGTATATCATTCTCCCACCAACTTTTAGCTGAGACAAACCTGAAACCAGACAATGCAGAGTAAACTCAAGACATAAGATTCCGCGAGTCGGGTACCTGAGAGGAAATGCTTATCTCATGGCAAGCACAACTTGCAAACTATGAAGTCCATTACCTGATCCAGAATTCCTATGCAGAAACCAAAGCAAAGAAAAAAAGGATAAAAGAATCTTGAAGCAATAGGAATCAACACATACGTATGTCAATTTGGAAGTTCATAAATTTTAGAAACCATCTTCTCCATAAGCTGATATTGTACGTGTCA